TGCTGACTTCCGTGCTGGGGCGCTGCTGGTGGGGAGCTGCATGCTTGCTGCAGGAGCCAGCGTCTGGTGCTGAGCCCTTCTTTCTCTTACAGGGCCCAGCACTACATCAACGTGCCAGTTCAGTTCAGACCCCAGTCGGCGGGCGCGTTCGAAGCTTTGCTTGTTATTCAAACAGACGAAGGCAAGAGTGTCGCTGTTCGACTAATTGGAGAAGCTCTTGAAAAAAATTAACTAGAATACATTTGTATAAAGTAAATTACATAAATTGTATTTGGTAACTTCCTTTTTCTACACTACAATTATGCTTTTGTGTATAATTTGTATGCAAAATTGGGTGTTTAACTGTAGATTTTTTTGTTTTGAAAAGCTAATACTGAAGACTTGACTGAAATATCATGTATCTAGCCTACAGTATTACTTTTACAGGGGAGAAAATAATTCTATTTTTGCATCGATTATGATATTCTGAATGAATATGGCATTTATTTTAATGTGGTATATCCAGAAATAAACTTTATTTTCCATTAAACTTGTCTCTTCTATATGGTGCCATACAGTAATTAGAATATCACTTTTTTCCGCTAATTATTTCCAAGCTTCTGGGTTTGTTTTGTGATTTTTCTCCTCCATTACGGAGTTTCTTTCTCCTAAGAAATACCTTCTCTATTTTTTCTTTCTTTTAGCTAATTGTCCAGAGTAGAAAGGACAGCCAGCCTACTTTCAAAAAAAGTGTTTTTCTCCAGAGTGGTATTTTTTGTAATTAAAGCTAAACAGGCCCACCACTCCAGAAGAACGTTTGGGAGGGGCTCTCTGCAGGCAGATGCCAGAAGTCCTGGTGAGAGAGGAGCTTCCGTATATACTTTTCTTATGGATATGTAATTCTTCCTATTTCTCCATGTTTTGGAAACTCGATACTTGGAGTTTTAAGAACAGTTGGATGTGAACAAATGATTCATTACAAGCAGTGATCACTGCTAAAGCAACAGCCACAAACTATTGGCTGTCCTCACTTAATAATTTCTAATGGGGAAGAGCATCTAATAGGCCAGGTTAAAGCATCTGTTTAATTAGCTTCCTATCTAGAAGCTGTTTCCCTTTCCTTCCCATCCCTTCCCAAATTTGCATCTTGAGTCTTAATCTCACCTCTGAGCTCCAGACTCAGATGTCCAGCTGGACATTTCCACTCAGTTATCAAATAGGCGTTTCAAACTTTTGACTCCGTACTTAATGCAAACATGTTCTTCCCTCATATCTCAGTAGATGGCACCTCTGTCTTTCCAATTACCCAGCCCACACCCTAGATTTGGATGTCTTTATCCTCACCTCGGAGGCCTGGTGGCGTAGTGGTTAAGAGCTTGGCTGCTAACCAAAAGGTCAACAGTTTGAATCCACCAGCTGCTCCTTGGAGGCCCTATGGGGCAGTTCTACCCTGTCCCGTAGGGTCATTCTGAGTCAGAATCGATTCGATAATGGGTTTGGTTTTTGTTTTTCACCCTCATTTCCATATGGACTGAAGAGTGTAGGTTCAAACCACCAACCTTTCCATTAAATAGTTAAGTCTTTAACCACTTACACCACCGAGGGACTCCTATCCAAGATAACCCCCTAACTATTCCTATCACATCACACTTGTTTATTTGCATTGCAGCCCCCGATCTATGCCTGGTATTTTCTTGCTTGTTTGCTAGTTTATTGTCTCGCTCCTCTAAAACTTAAGCCCTCTGTGATTAGAAACCTCGTCCACCTTCTCACCACTGTCTCCGCAGTACCTCAGCAGCACCTAGATGTATCATTGTGACTGACCACCTTGCAGTGCTCTGAGCCCCATTCACTGTGTTCTAGAAGGTTCTGTGTTCACTGCTGGAACCAGGAGAAAAATGCCCCAGCCGATTAGTTTTCAGTACTCCCAGTAAACATCTCAGGAACGCCTTGACACTTCCCTCCAATGTTTTTTACCAGTCTCCTGTACATATTTTCTAATAGTAATAGCTAAATAAAGGAGCCCTAGAGGCACAATGGTTAAGCACTCAGCTGCTAACTGAAATGTCAGTGGTTTGATCCCACGAGCCACTTTGCTGGAGAAAAGACCTGGTGATCTGCTTCTGTAAAAACCCTATAGGACAGGTCTACTCTGTCACACTGGGTCTCTGTTGAGTCAGAATGGACTCGGCACACAAGAACAGTAGCTAAACATTATTGAGTGCTTCCTATGTGCCAAGCAATGTCCTAAATGCTCAATGCTTCTAAATAACTTTATAGCAAGCCATCTTTTTTTATGGGGGAGACCTGAGGGAAGAAAAGGGATAGAGACCCTCCTGCCGCAGTCTCCATCCAGGTACGCTATACCTGTGGACAGATTTACTGTGGCTTTGGTATGGGTGGAAACCCTAGTGGTAGTAGTTAAGAGTTCGGCTACTAATCAAAAGGTCGGCAGTTTGAATCCACCAGGCGCTCCTTGGAAACCCTATGGGGCAGTTCTATTTTGTTCTATAGGGTCACTATGAGTCAGAATCGACAGCAACAGGTTTGGTTTTGATTTGGTTTTTGGTATGGGTGGGACTGGGTGTCAGGAAGGGACAGAATGGCCTACTCTGGCCTGTGAAGTCGACCTTTGTCCTATTATGGTGTAGACAAAGAAACTAAGGCTCAAAAAAACCAAAACTAAACCCATTGCCATCAAGTCGATTCTGACTCAGGAGATTAGTAATTGGCTAAAGGCCACACAGCTACAAAGTTTGGGAGCTGAGATTTAAACCTTGATTTTTCTGACTTTGGTGCTCAGGTGCAGATAATTCTTGAAGTAATTAGATAAAATTTAACTTAAATATATGGCTTCTTTGAAAAGTTTGATTCCCTTTGGTTGTAAGATTGTAAATTCGTGTGTCCTGCCTCATTTACTTAGCTCATTAAGGTACACGGAAGTGAGGATGCCTAATGCTTTGGGTCAGGCTTGTCAACTAGGTAAAACATTTTGCAGGCAAGACTAAAGTTTCATAGAATTCAGTGCTAATCCGTATCACTACTGATTTAATTAGACCAGAAAGATTGGATAAGAGGGCATCTGTTTTTAGTCTTCAATTAAACTGAGGTTGGAATGTGTTTATATATGGAACACGGATCTCTGGGCAGAATTAAATTGGGCTGTTTCTCACAAGTATGAAATTGTTTTCTTTCCTCTTTTTCTTAAGTAACCTTCCTCCTGTTTCAATTTAGGGTTAATTTTCTAAATTCTTATTTTTAACATGATTCTTGTACTGTACAGAGGTTTTATGAAAGCCTTGTTCTAAAGTGAAAAACTATTTTCCCAACCTCTTCCTAAATGAGACTGTTTTGTATCTTTTCCAGTTAGTGAAAACTTTTTTATCAGTCCTTTTACAAATATTTAAATTTCTTGTCCACTGCACATTTTGGATACACAGATTGGTTAGGATGTGTCTTAGTTATCTAGTGCTGCTATAACAGAAATACCACAAGTGGATGGCTTTAACAAAGAGAAATTTATTCTCTCACAGTCTAGGAGGCCAGAAGTC